AGTTTAATTTGATAGATCGCTAACTGTAAGTATGACAGTAATGCTTGATTTAGTTTCAGGCTCCTTTCCAATACTGATCCATTTTCAGTTCACTATTTGTGTCAAATCTAGGAACACAACTCTAAATTATACGTGCTCTGTGGTTAGTTTTTGTCTGGTGTTGTGTGAGAATGAGAGAGTAGAACCATGAACCTGCACTTGACCTGTCAGCGATGCGGCCAAAGAGCGCTTGTATTTACTGCTGCATTTCTGGACACTTGCTGAAATGCAGAACCAGTCTTTGTCTTTTTTTATAGCTCAGTGGACTCATCTGGGCAGTGGAGACATAAAATACAGCTTTAATGTGGAGCGTTTCACTCTAGGAAGATGTTCACATGAGACGCCAGACTTTCATGTGTGATATTAAACTTTTAAACTGCGCCGAGTGTGATATTTCAAGACGATGTCTGAACATTAACAGATAAATGCAGTGTAAATCGGCTTAAGATGAACCATGTGCTGCGCTGCACGGTAAAGCACATTTATCTGTATATGTTCTTGCCTTTCTCCTTTCTCTCAACCCCCAAATACACTCAAGCATACATCATCAGATAATACCCACCTCCCCCTCTTCCCGTTTCGGTGCATTTACAGTTTCCAGCAAAGCTGAGTGAGCACAACAACAGGAAAACAAAGTGCCTTCTCTCATTCTCTGGGCTTTCACCTCTGTCTTTGCTGAATCAAAAAGGCAATAGATGGGCCTCATCACTCCAGAGTCTACGGTAAAGTCTTTCAGAGAACTAGAAAAGGAGGAATGACTACACTTTTATATTTTCTGAAGAAATTGTGATTGACGTGTAGTTCCAAACCTGTACTGTATGGTGTATGATTTACTTTTTCAATTTGTTGGATTTAAATTTGACAATTTTCTATCAGAAATTGCTTGAATTTCTCAAATAATTACAAAGAAATGGCAAGTTACACATTGAATCAAGCTTGAAATTTTGAAGTTGACGACTGAAATAGTATTTTTCTTGTAAAACATACTCCAATAAACTTGGTCATACATTATTGGAATGTCAGGGTTTCTGGAGGTTTAAAAAAGTCTTAAATTCATAAAGTCATTGCATTAAATGCTGCATGCATTGCAAAAAATAATATCTTCCTCTGTATTTTTGTTTATAAATATCTGAAAATCCTTAATGACATGCAAATGCAAAATGAAGCCTTGAAAACTGAACACAAGTGAGTTTATGCTTAAAAACAAGAACAAATATCTGTCAATGGGGTATGAAAATATTTGAATTAAGAAGATTGCAAATATTTGTTCATGTTTTAATCATAAACTCATTTCATTCTTATTTTGTGTCATTTTGTAGAATCTTTAGACATTTGCACTGGAAAACAAGACAAAGGTGCAAAGGTATTCAAGTTTTCGTTTTTTAACTAAAAAATAATGGAGATTGGTTGGAAGTTGTATTTTATTTTTGGGTGAATTATCCCTTTAAGGCCCCCCTTTTTTTAGTATACAACTAACAGCATTGCATTACACTAAATGCATTAAACTAGACAACCTAGTTTATATATCCGAAGCTTGAATCAATGAAGTGCAACAAATCAATGAATCAATTTTTGAACTGTCTGAATTAACTGACTCACTAAAATGAATCAGACTTCTCAGCCTCATATGAGGGAGGAGGGATACTGAGGTTTGATCTTGCTCAAATGTAGAGCTGTGGGTATGAATTAGTAATGTAGCATAACAAAATGCTTCGTCGCTAGTTTTTTTCTGCATTGTATTGAGAAACTTGTTAGGAAAAAAATAGCTGTAGCACAAATGGTGTGGAAAAGGTTTCTCACTGAAGTTTAATACTTTTGAACCCCAACCCTCAGTATGAGTGATAGTTATAGTTATGCAAGGACCATTATTTAGATCTCAGCTGCAAGATCTTTCCTCTGTTTTCCTCTTCTTGCTGGAAATGTGGAGGTTGATATTGGGTGGGAGATCACAGCTCTCTCCCGTGGCGATGCCTGATTGCCAGTGTAAAGACAGGGAAGGCTATGTACCATGACTTTGGACAGTTTGAAGGGTATGGATGTGATATGTGCTATTGGCTGCTCTATAATAAGATTGCTGAGATCTGTGGAGAGGAGAATTTACTGGAGCACAACTCCCCCTAGGGCATCTTCATAGAAATCTGCTTTTCCACCAGCTTTTGGTGCATCTCAGCCAAGCTGCTTGGTTCCTATTGTTAATGAGCCGCTCTTTCACTCTCCTTCCCCCCAGCCTGAGCCACAGTGCGCCAAAAGGGGCTAGAAAATCTCAAGCTGCAGCTGATGGCAGTCCAGGAGAGGCAGAACATGACAGATGAACACTCAGCCTTTCTCGCTCTGCAGGCATTAACATGGCCATTTCATCCAAACCTTTTCCAGCTGAGAACTTAACATGACCCGGTCCACAGGCACCTTCCTTACGGTTTAAGACACATGGATACCTCTGTGTGCTTCAAAGATTTCAAACTGGTGTAGTACTTGAGTTCTAGAGAAATGCTCTTTATGTGCATTTCCCAAATGATTTTGGTACACCAATGAGCACACATTGACTCATGATTGGTTGAGATGAATATCTTGAACCAATCAGTGATCAGACTGTTTTCAGAATGGAATGCTAGCATACTGTTTACAATGTGAAATTGTGCATTATGCAACAATTAAGATTTTAGGCTACATTTTTTGTCAATTAAATTTTTTTGGTTCTGTATTAATCTGATCGATTGTAAAGTGTTGATATTTGGAAGTGCTCATAATAACAATAATTATACATTAACTAATTAAAAAGTGTGCTATATAAAATATTTATTTATGTGTGAATAATTAAATTAATAAAATATAAATAATAATAATATGTAAATGTTTCTTTATTTGTTTATTTTAATAAAACAATAAAATAGATAATATATATAATTAATAATAAAAATAGATACTTTGCATTTTTAATCAAATCCTGAGTAAAACCAACCTGGCAGTCCAATCAAATGAATTGTCAAGAAAAAGATCTTAAGAATTGTGGCAGATTACTTCCGGTTCACTTGTCACATATGGCTGGTCAGGTTGAGTGCATTGCTTTATGGGATACAATACACAGTAGAATGCTGCACATTTAGACAAATGTAGCAGTTTATCCAGGTATTCTGTGAATATAGTATGAGTGTGCCATTCTGAACTTTCATACTTTGATCTGAGAGCTAGCTTTTTCATTTTATTACACTTTATTTTAAAACCTCTGTAACTCACACATTATTTTCTTAATCTTAACTTCGAGGCAGCAAATGCCAGATCTCTATGATTTTACTGCGTATCAAAGATGGATTTCCACGACACCGTGAGGCCATGCAGATTAGGATTTATCTGATTTTATCATTTCCTTTGAAGAACAACCTGATCATCGTAATGCGTCCCATATTAAATCTGTGGCCTGCAGAATTCACCTGTTCCATCAAAACCCATTTTAGCTGGCATGCATTTTAACTCATTTAATACTGAGATACTTTTGCTGAATAAACAGCTAGAAAAGTCTCTTTGATGTTCTTAAAATATCATGGTGTGACATCATCAAGAGGAGAAAATGAAATGTTCAACATGCACCATTCTGATAATTAACAGAAATGGGATTTTAATTAAAGTGATGAGTGTGTGTTCGAATGAGACCGGGCTCTATATTTTTAGATATCCATCTTTTCTTAAAATTATAGTGATAATACTTTAGATATAAAAGATATAATCGAGCTTACACCGTGGAGTACAGACTGTCAAAGTAGTAATTTGTGGTTTTGTTGACGCTTTAAAGAATGCTAGTCAAGGGTATGAGTGTTTCTGTCATTTTTTCCTTTTTCCAGCAAATTTTCATTTTTGAAAATGTCATACCACCTTTTTTTTTAAGAAAGTAGTATGCAGTATGCAAATTTTCAATAACCAGTTGACTAGATTTTTTACTAGATTTGCTAAAAATGTGCAGTATACACAATCAGAATTCACAGTATAGAACACAGCAATGTTTGACCTTCTATTTCTAGTGAGACAAATGAACCAGAAACGATACGAACCATCTCCCTGACCATTATTTGTTTAGACTGCCAAAAGAGAAGACATTTACCCCAAAGTGAATTAATGTGAAATAATTGCATTTGAAACATTCACGCTCTGCAATATGTTAACATACTATTTTTATAAAACATTATGCAGTGTGCTCAGTTCTGATCGTTGCCCAAAGCAAAGATATTTGATAATCTGTCTCACATTATCAGGATTATTCAAGCAGAAGGCTGTTGCATATGGCTGAGGTGTAGAGTTGTCTGCTTGTCATCTGCCTGTGTGGGCATTATTTCTGCAATCAGAATGCATGCTGGGAATTAATTAGCCTGGCCTTCATTTAGCTGCCTCCCTGTGTTAATGTAGAGATGTTCAAACGCAAAGGGTGTTAAAGTACAGTAGCGGCACTGCAGGACGTCTACTCGTCGCATTTTATCGCTTGATGAGTGGAAAATGTGTCGTGATGGGAAACGCTAGGAGGCTGTGATGGTTCGGAACGGGGGGAAATTGGAGTTGTAACAGATTAGCACAGATCCATACACCCACAGATTCAGCTTCAACCTCAATAAATTTACAATCATGGCCTTCTTCATCTCCAGCAATCGCTAATAGTTCATTCCCTCCCTTCTGTTAGCGAGCTGATTTCCTGTTCAGTGTGAAAATTGGCCGCTTAGCCGTTAAACCGTTGTCCAATTCCAGGAATTTATCAAAGAATATAACAACAATGGAGCCTCTGGCCTCTGAATCATCTCCTCTCTGATCTGGATGAGAGCGCAGTGGATCAGTCGCATGAAATCCCTGACGCCCCTCTCTAAAACCCCCAATCTACCTCTGCAACCTGCAGTAAAGCCAACTAAAGCCCTTCAGTCCTAACTACTCCCTGGCATCGGGGCTTAACGCTTCCTCCTCTCTCTTTGTCTCTCTCTCCACAGTATTGCTGAGTGTGCTTCAGGCAAATGGCCAGACGGAGATGAAGAAGGTGGTCGGAGACAATGCCACGCTGCCGTGCCACCATCAGCTGTGGCAAGCCGACATCTCCCTGCTGGACATCGAATGGATGCTGCATAAATCCAGCTCACGGCAGAAAGTGGTGAGTGCGTGCACGTCTGATCTCCCGCCACTGCGACATTGTGCTGCTGATGCTGGCCTTCGCTGCTCGCCACAGTCCCTGATCTGCAGTGCAGTGCTTTTTTGCTGCGATGATGGGAAGGGTTGTCTTTCTGTAAACTGCACCATCAACTGGTGCTGCAATCAGCACTGTAAAAACTGCTCATTTTTAATATGTCACTGCTTTGCCTCGTATCACCCCTAACAATTACTTTTATGACCTAATGATGTGGAATTGGCCCGAGGACAAGTTTTACATTTTAATCTGGCCACGGCTCGAGCTGCTCCCTGAGGTCCTTCCTGACACAATATATCCAACAAGAAGAGGTCAAACCTTTCGCCGATTTAACTTCCTGCCAGTTATGAATCATTTCAGAGCTATTTTTCTAAATAGCATGTAGCTTTTCAATAAGAGAAAGCTCGTTTTTAGGGGTGAGTTTTTGTTCTGCTTAGATGACAATTTTGGGGTCTGTCTCTCAAACCCTATAGCACCACCAACAGTTTAAACTTTTAGGTACATCATTTTAGTTTATTTATACACTACAATTCAGGAGTTTGTGGATTTTAAGATTTTATGTTTTTGAAAGAAGTCTCTTATGCTCACCAAGTCTGTATTTACTTGATCAAAAACAGTAATATTGTAAAATATTATTACAATTTAAAATAACTATTTTCTTTTTAAATATATTTTCAAATGTAATTTATTCCAGGGATGCAAAGCTGAATTTTCAGAATTATTACTCTAGTCCTTAGTGTCACATGATCCTTCAGAAATCATTCTAATATGCTGATTTTTCTTATATAAACATTTCTTCTTATTATCATTGCCGAACACAGTTGTGCTGCATAATATTTTTGTATAAATCACACTGACCTGAAATTTTTGATCAGTAGTGCAACTTTTGAATGATTTAGAAGCAAAATAGTTCTTTTTTTTATTCATTGAATCATTTTTCAATTTTTGACTTGATTTTCTGACATTTTTATTTATTTATTTTTGTTAACAACTCTTTATTGAATTTTCTTTTGGGAATAGTAATATAAAACAAACAGCAACTGTATAAATTTAGAACCCACCCCAACCCTGGTAGACTTAAAAAAAAAAAAAAAATTATAATAATAATAATCATAAAAATATGTAGATATAAAAAATAAATAAATCAATAAAATAATTTTTACAAAGATTTTAGAAAAGCTGACACAACATTAAAAGCTGAATGCCATAAATTTACAGTTTTCACATTAGATCCATGTATACGAGAAGTTGAGAGTTCCATCGAGATAATGTCCAACAAATGTCCAGGTTCGTCTGTCCGTTGTGTGAGGAGGATTCCAACGATTGACTAGACAAATTATTATAATTTTTTTTAGTTTAAGCAGACTGTCATCGCATGATTTTGTGATCATGCCAGTCAAAATGATTAAAAACCTTTTTGATACAGATGCGTCAATAGTTAAATTCTTAGTAAATAATTATTTTCATGTTATAGCCAATATTAAAATCCTATACAATTTTTTTAATTTAGAAATTCTAATGTTTTGAATGAAAAAAAATAGATAAAATATTTTTTAAAAGTTGCTTTTATTAATTATTTTGTTAGATAATGGGGGGGAAATAACTTTTATCAGTGAAAAGGGCAGTTTCTTGTTAGGAAAATAGTTTAGCATTGCTTTACAGAATGAAGTTGAGTATCAGGGACACCGAAAGACAAATATAACCAAGCAAAGAAAGGCCTGATTCACAGTGACATCAGAGTTTAGCAGACTCCTACCGCAGGCGTGCACTGTGACTCAACCCTCACTGGATTGCGCCCTTAGCACAAAGAGTTTCACAAGCTTAATCAAAGCAGTATTTATTAACTCACTGTATGTTTCCTCTTTCACCAGGTCATCACATACTTTGCAGGTCGGATCTACGACCCCAACGAGAGTGAAGCTGGGCGGCTTTCCCTAGCGGGAGACTATCTGAAAGGCGACGCTTCACTCTTGATCAGCGACCTCTCGCTCACCGACTCCGGAGAATACATCTGCAAGGTCAAGAACGGCGGGAAGTACTACTGGAACACAGTCAAACTCATCGTGCTCCGTGAGTCTTTGGCCCCGCAGCTTGGCTTTAATTAACTCCTCTTGTAGGCCTGGGAAATGATAAAGACATGGCAGATGCTTATTTCACGGAGTAAGGGGTCCAAAAATAGCACCAGGATGTTGTCCCTGGGCGTAGTGTGCCAGTTGTGCCCTGATCTTGGCGTGAAATGACATTCAGTGACTGCATGACAGTAAGAATGACACATTATGCATGACAGCATTGGAAAAAGCAGTCATCACATGTAGAAATTTACAAGACACACTATAGTCGAACTTCCAAAACACATAAATCAGTCTTAGTTACTCATTCAACATGTATTATTATGAGTATGTGTTAAATAAATGCCTCCTCCTGCATAGAAACATTATATGTCTGTTTTCACCCCGTTGTTTCTTTCTATATTCCCTCATTCCATCTTAACCGCTTCGCCACAGCTGTATAAAGACATTTAAGAGCACCACAAATTTACGCATGCATTTGTACAAATGGTCCATGGCTTTCAAACGACACGTTCGATTCTGAGGGGCAAACATTAGCATTTGTCTTGTTCAACACAAAGATAATGGCTTGGCAGAGGATGCAAATGCAGCTTCCTCTGTGTGCCGTAAGTGATCCTGACAGAGTCGGGAGATGGAGGGGACCTGCATCCCACTCAGCAGCTGTAATTGCATCCCCCCACTGTGAGTGCCGGGGCAAAATTGTCCTGGCTCAGCAGATAGAGGCGGCAGGAGCAGATTCTGATGGCCGGGGTGGGCAGGAGCGGGGGGTCGAGGACCGAATGGTGAACGGGTTGTTTTACAGATTCATGTTATCTGGCATCACACTGTTTTTTTTAAGAGGTTCATGATGTGAGGAAAAATAGATCTAAATGGGGAGCAATGCAAAAAGGGTAAAAGTGCATGTGTGAGTGTACAGATCTGGTTTTACATATTGTTTCATTATAGTTTAGTTATAATTTAAACTATAAATTTCGTAATATTAGTCTCTGTGTTTTTAGTCTTTTAACTCAAAGTGTTTCATAATGTGATTTTTTTGCACTTATACAAAATGTGTTAACAATACATGCATTACTACCTGGTTATTTAATATAAGCCAATTCTATGTTAGATTTCCAGCTAAAATGCCTATATTGTGAAAAAAAAAATCTCTGGATTATCCAAATATATGCATTCCTACATGGTTGTTTAATATTTAAGCCAATTCTTTGTTGAATGTCCAGCTAACATACCTATATTATGATATAAAATTCACTGAATTATCCAAATAAATGCATTACTATGTGGATTTATAATATGTATGCCAATCCTTTGTTGAATTTTCAGCTAAAAAATTCACAGGATTATCCAAAAATATGCATTACCATGTGGATATTTAATATATAAGCCCATTCAGTTGTTGAATTTCCAGCTAAAATACCTATACACTGATACAAAATAACTCATACCATCATGTAGTATTTACCTTACCATATGTGTTTGTCTGTTTTGCAATGTAGTGAAGCCGTCCAAACCACGCTGTTGGATGGAGGGTCGTCTGCTGGAAGGAAGTGATGTCAGACTGAGCTGCAAGTCCACAGATGGTTCTGACCCGATCAGCTACAAATGGGAAAGAGTCTTAGACAAAGGAAAATACGCTGGCAAGCTGCCACCTCAGGCCCTCATAGGTGAGCTCTTAGAAGAGTATTTTAATATTTACATCTGTAAGTGAAATTTTAATAATGACAATTTTTACTAATAATTATGGGAGAAAATCCGTGTCATATTTAAATAATGTGATGTAGGTGAAGATGATATTTTGACTGTAACCTGTTGCCCACGTTTTTAAACGCTAAACCGACTTGCTCTGCTCCAATCACTTTAATACTGCTTTCTTATGAAGAAAAAAAAATGCAGCATTAAGTTTATCTTCCAAGCGTGGGGAGTAAATCATGTGGACATCTCCTCTCTGGAGGAGCAGAAAATAGATGAAGACACTACAGGGCCAATTTAACACCGCAAGCATTCTCAAATTAAATTTACATCAATTCCATCAGCACTTTTTACCCCACATGCTTCACTACCTCCTCAATTAGCCCCTCTTATGAAATCGGCTTGGAGATGTGACATATGTGTAATGTAATGTGCTCTCTACCCTTCATCAGGCTTTATGGAGAATTTTGCAGAACATGCTCTGTTCATTCAACTGTGCACTTCCAGTAGTTGTTTCACGTCAGAAATGAGGTTTCAATGAAATCAACACTAACCAAAAGAGGTTGTAGGTTCAGTACTTGAAGCTTGAAGTGTGACAGCGTGTTCTAATCAGGCCCATTGTGATGAACTTACAAGCAATAAATCTTGTCCATGTCCTAACTAGCCATAAAAAGCAAAATTTTGTAGAATGCTTGGTTTTTATTTATCATGTAACTCACAGTTTGATAATGGTGCTTGACATGACACAGTCACAACCAACTTCAGCATATTTGATTTTTAATATACAGCTGCACTGCTGTTCAAAAGTTTGGGGTTAGTAAGATTTTATTATTTTTATTTTTTTATTTAATTTGAAAGAAATTCATTATTAGAAATTCATATTAGGATTCATTAAATTGAATTGGATTGACACTTATAACATTACAAAAGATTTCTGTCAAATAAACGCTGAACTTTCTATTCATCAAAGAATCCTGGAAAAAAATGTATAATATTTAAACAATGTCTTCAGCATTGACAATAATAATAAATGTTTCTTAAGCAACAAATCAGTACATGATAATGATTTCTGAAGGATCATGTGACACTGAAGATTGGAGCAATGACTGCTGAATTCAGCTTTGTCATTATAGAAATAAATAACATTTTAAACATTAAAAAAAAAATTTTTTTAATTGTAATAATATTTAACAATATTACTGTTACTGTATCTTACTATATCAAATACATGTAGCCTTAGTGAGCAAAAGAGACTCTTCATTTTTTGTTTTGTTTTTTTACTTTTTAAAAGATTTTAAATTCTTACTGACCCCAAACATTTGAATGGTGGTAAAAGTGGAACAGAATTTTGCAAAATAAGATTTTTATGTGGACGGGGCTACCCAGCAACCAACAATTTGTGTTAGATTAATATGAAAGAAACAGGATTTATCGCTTGTCATTTTGTGTCTGTTTGGATGCAGTGCAAGACTGCAAACTATTAACTTATCAAATGACAAGTAACTTTGTGTTTTTTTTTATTTTTATCTAAAGATCTGAAGAACCCTGAGATTGTGACATTGAAAAACCTGACGAGGGAAAGCGCGGGGGTTTATAAATGCACCGCCAGCAATGATGTCGGAGAAGAAAACTGCACTTTAGAGGTCAAAGTTCACTGTAAGTACCTGTATTTATGGATGTGTTCAGAATGGCATACTAGTGTAGCATACTGTGAAGACTACCTGCTGTTTTCTAAAAATAGCGCACAGTATGAAGTGATAAATGCTTCAAACCATAGTATTACAAACCATATATACAAACCATATAGCATTGTTGACACATTACCTCATTGCACTGCACTTTTAATTTAGCATGTGCCATCCAGTTTTCCATTACCTTGGAAATAAAAATGCAAATAGATTTTTTTTAGCTAATTTGTCAAAAAATGTTACACATTTTCTACTGCTTTATTTGTCAAGCTGTAAATGGTAGGTCAAAAAGAGTGCATTGCTTAGCATTGTGGGAAACAATAGGTAATCTGAGTATCTCATGCATAGAAAATTTGCACACATGCAATGCATGACACATTATAATATGAGTAGTATTTTGTACTTAATCTGAACTTAGCCATTGTTTTTCACAGATGAAAAGCTTTATGCAAATCATAAATTCTTACTCCTAGTTTTTTTGTTTTCTTCTTGCTTCTGACACTTAATTTAATTACCATCAACACAAGTACATTGCCAACCCACAGTATACTTTGTGAAGATTGCAGTGAGATCCTGACCCGTTCTGCTATGCCGTGCGATCTTTCAGCACTATTTAACATCCAAATAAAGAGTTCATCCTTTTCTTTATCACAGTGTTCACTGAGTTAATTCCTTCCTCCAAACCTTTCTCAAACAGCTCTGCTGCATAATTAAATATCAGATGATGGAATTAGAAGAAATAATTAATTATGTGGCGGAAAGAGAAATGTATTCATGCAAAAAATGCCATATTATTAAAGGAAGGAACGTAGTGAGTGCGGTTGGTTGATTAATGCTGTGCAGTTTGCTGGAGTATTCTCATGGTGAGATACACTCCTTCAGGTATCTGCAATGCAGAGGGGGCTGCTTGCTTGTTACGGGCTGTTTGTTAGGCTATTCTGAGCATGGAAACTTTGTTTTATGTGTCTTTTCAAAGAATGGAAAGTGTTTTCTATAAATACAGTAGTGGATACTGAGTGTGTGAGTTTTTAAACAGTTTTACACACTTCTGAGCTCTCTCTCTCTCTCTCTCTGTGTGTGTGTGAATAGAATAGAATAGAATAGAATAGAATAGAATTTATACATTTCCTGAAGAAAATGTGAGTGGTTCTGGGTAGTTGCTTACTGGCCAAAGTCAAAAGAGTCTAACCTTAAGTTTCTATAGAATTTTGGTACCTAGAAATTGCTTGGGTCGTTCCATTTATGTCATCTTATGATTTTTTTTTTCTATTTTTTTTAAACACAATTGGTTATACACCAATGTTTAATTCTTCATTTTTTTAACCCTTAAGTAAAAGTATAAACATTGTATTCCATAGAGCTGTTTTATAGCTGAATCGATTTTTTTTCATATTTGATAAGTAAGACAGTATTGAACTAAACTGAATCAACACTGAACTGACTTGAGCTGAATAACGACACTATTATCTTCTGTAGAGCTGCTTTATAGCTGAACTGAGTTCAATTCATAACTAATGAACTTTGCAACATTCACACTGTTATTTAACTAAACTGAATCAACATTGAAATAAATTGAGCTGAATAATGACACTATTATCTTTTGTACAGCTGCTTTACAGCTGAAATTGTATTTGTTTCATAATTGAAGTATTTTGCAACGTCAATACTGTTATTTTCTTGTTTATTACTGCTTTGAAACAATCTGTGTTGTTTAAAGCGCTATATATAAATGTGACTTGACTTGACAATAATAACAGTGACGTTTACCTTAGCAAACACCATAACTTCTTATAAAACATGACCAGTTGTGATGTTCCTGCTTTTTTGCAGATGTCCGGGGAATGGGCGTGGTGGCTGGCGCTGTGGTGGGCGTGTCCTTCGGTGTTCTCCTCATCATCCTCATCATCTGGCTTGTTTTCCGTAAGAAAGAGAAGAAGAAATATGAGGAGGAGGAAGCACCCAATGAAATAAGGTAAAGAAAAAATAATAATAAACACTTTTTAAAATAGCATATACAACGTAAATGCAAATTACAGCCTGAGACCATTTATAATGCTTGTTAAAGCAGCAACTCTATTTCTCTTTGTTGACTTGCATTCATGTCTATGCTAATTTGCGGGTGTCAGGATGAATTATGCAGGTTTGGAGGATGAGTGAGCATTAACAATGCAGACGACAGCGAGATATACACACATACACTGCTCTCAGTTTAAAGAGGTACATAACAAGGCCTCAGTGTAGCAGAAGTCACTTTCCCTAAACTTGTTAGCCAGTAGCCCGAAGGGTTTAAAGATATTAATTTGAGTGTTTTTACATTTTTGTGTAATTATCAAAACATTTTGTAAAATGCAAAGCCCAAAACAAAAGTGCAAACTCTGAAGCTTTAGAGCTGTTTAGGGTGTCACGTGTTGGCATGTTAGTAGATTTAGCACAAACTTCTAGAAAATGCATTTAGATTGCATTAGAAATGCACTTCTAACTAGTTGCTGAATCCATATGGCAAAAATATATTTTCAGATATATTTTTAAATACATCTCAAAATATTCAAAAAGGTGGACCAAAAATATATTGTTAATCTTTTTTTTTTTGTAATTACATTACAAATAATTACTTAGCTACTGTGAGTTTTCTTTACTTAAATTTCCTCATATATTTCTTGCTCATTTTTTATATATTTTCAATTATATTGCTTAAAATATATTTTATCCATTAGTTTATATTTATATTTAATGTATATCTAACAGAATAGTCTACCCTAAAATGAAAATGCTCATCATTCACTCACTCTCTTGTTGTTCCAAACCTGTATGACTTTTTTTCTTGCTTCTATGGAACACATATTTTTGGTTTTTGGTAACCAAACAGTTTTGGTTCCCTTTGAATTTCATTGTATGGTCAAAAAAAATGGATTAAGTCAATAGGAACCTAAACTGGTTACCAACATTCTTCAAAATATTTTTTTAAGACATGAGGGTGAGTAAATGGTGACAGAATTTTAATTTTTGAGTGGACAGTCCCTGCAAGCTATTGATTTATTTAGCAAACTGTATATTTTGGCCATAAAAGGAATATATCTATATATGTATACTATATATGTATTTTTTGCTTTATGTGGAATTTTATTTCATGCCTTTGTGTTGATGAGTCACCTTGTAATTTATATGCTAACACAAATGCACATTGCATTCATAGCATTACTAGAAAAGGGTGTAATAACAGGAATTAGGGATGCACCGATACCACTTTTTCCAGTACTCGCCCGTAATGCAGAAACACTCAAGCAAGCAAAACACGCGCAACGTGTGCACGTATTTGTACTGATGCAGAATAGTACAGTATAGCGCATTTCTCACAGGCTGCTAGATTCACTTTCGCCAGAAAGTCGTGAATGCCTATGGTTGAAAATAAATGATATTTATAGTGAATGCCCTTATGAATGGTTTTATTTTTACGATTTAGTTTTAATCCAAATGATGTGTGTGCTAAGTGAGTGAACATCAAAGATCACACAACAGAAGTGCGCGCACGCTCTCTCTCTCTCGCTCTCTCCCTACCGTTAAGTAACTTGTGCATTGTTTTACTTACTTGTTTTTGACATATCCGACCGAACTACAAACTTTCCAGTGATGTCTGTGAGAAAGATATATTCACTCGACAAGCTCGCGCATCTGCGCCGCCGCGCGCTCAATCCACTCAGCGTGCATTTTTTATCAGCTCGCGCACTTCAGCTATACAGGCGTTAATACTGAATGTTTAACATTATATTTATTGCATACATATACTTCGTAGTAGACATCTTTAACTCCTTTCTGCTGTCTGTTGTTGGTGTTTCTTTGTTTGATTATGGCACTTATCACATGCTGTATGGTATCAGCGTTTGGTATCGGGGCATTTTAACGAGTACGAGTACGAGTACAGGAGACCAGTATCGGGCCCGATACCGATACCAGTATCGGTATCGTGCATCCCTAACAGGAATTATGTAGTTTCAAGTCAACTACTGTCCTGGAGGGTGAACAATTAAAGTCAATGCGTCACTTCAAGTGCCATTAGAAGTCCCGGTTGCTATAGAAACAGTCAGCGTTCTGAGACATGCGCATGCGCATTGGCTGGTCTAGCCTGAAAAACAAGCTTTTTTAACGCTATTTGAGCAAAAGAAACAACGTTTATGAGATCGTTGTTGTCAGATTTCATTGGTGATTTCAAATATGAAATTTAATCGTAAGCTTGGCGATGTTTGCCCATTCAAAGAAATAGGAGCTGCACTTGCATGCCGAGAGACATTTCAAAGAGGACCGCCGAAAATGACTTGCCTTAAAGGGATTTTTGTACAGTATATAAAAGACTGCATGCTTGCAATGCACTGGCCAAGCCAGATAAAGAATTTCAGAGTCTCTGTCTTTATGTTTTAGGGAAGATGCAGAGGCTCCCAAAGCCAAACTGGTGAAGCCGAACTCTCTCTCCTCCTCCCGATCTGGTAGTTCTCGCTCTGGGGCTTCCTCCACACAGTCTATGGTGCACAACAGTGCCCCCCGTGGGCCCAGGCCTCGGCTGCCTGTCGTGGCTGCCCTTAAAGAAAGTGGGCAGCCCGAAAACTTCCCTCCGGTACCACCACCATACAACCATGTGGTCCCCAAACCTCCAGAGCCTGGCAGTAGCCCCAAACCCAACCCGGGGAACCTGGCGAGGATGGGTGCCACACCGGTGATGATCCCCGCCCAAACCAAGGCATTCCAGACTGTGTAAGAATAATACACACACAAACACACAAACAGATAAATACACACACTGCAGCAAGCATCAAATCCCACATCTGGTATCAGGAACATTCCCAAAAGATTTCCCACTCGCTGCAGAAAACCCAGGTGGTCAGGCCTTTTGATTCAACAGATTCGACTGGGTTGGAAAATAAATGCTTTTGTTGTTTTTAATGTGCACACTGAAGTGGAAGAAGACCCCTTGTGGAATGTAAACGGTAAAGACAGAGGAAAAAATTGGGGTTTGGATGTGGAGGGCTGTGCCTTGTGTTGTTATGATGGTTTGACCAAACAAAAGAGGCAGATATGAACAGAGATACAACTCTGCCTTTACCCAGACAGACAGCCTGTCTACCTGACCACACACTTCCTGTCGTCGCTGGGTTTGAACTGACAGCTACAGAACTGGAGGAGAAACTCACAAAAGCGGACTCTTTCCGGCACCTGCTCGTCCGCCCCTATGAGGATTCACATCTGCCACTCATTTCCTCAGCCAATCGGCATTCGCCAGGCAGCCCAGTGTGCATCACACCTAAACAGCCAATGGCAGGTCACCTGCTGGGCACAGACGCTGCGATTGGCCCAGAATGAGGAGAAATCAACACACTACGACATAAACAGGGACAGTAAATTTGTTTGTTCTTCATTAGAGCTATAAATATTCCATATGAATAGACATATTCCATATTTAAGAGGTATTTATAGGAATTCCATATATTTCAGTTCAAGTATCTAACAGCATTCGTAATGTGTGTGCACATTCCCTTTAAATCATTCATTCACATTCTTCAGGATAATGCAAACCGTATCTTCAGTAATGAGGTTGATTGTCTCAGTGGGGAAATGGTTTGGCTCCGCTTTGGTTCTTGGTATTTGCAATTGAAATCATATGTCTGGTTGGTGCATCCCATTGGATGCAAGTATGATGAGGTTGGGTCAGGCTTATTCTGTGCTGGTTTATATGAATCTAAAGTGTCTACATGATTATGATGAAACCAAACAAGCAGGCCCACACACAATCTGCATGCATGGAAAGCTCCAGTTTTCCGCAGAATTCGAACGGCTGTCGTTAACAAAGCTATGCATTAGTGGTTCTCAACCTTTTTGATTCGAAGTCTTAAGACTAAGTCTTATTTTAACACAATTAATCAAAGGCCCTCTATATTGCAATGTTTCTTTTAGTATTCCCAGCTAACAAGGAATGTTCTCAGAACTTTGGCATACGTTCTGGCAAGGCCTTTAATAATGTTTCCAAAAAATTCACACAAAAATGTTTTTAGTCGGACGTTCAAAAAAAAAAAAAACCTGGATGTTCTGAATGTTCAGAAATAATGTTTTCATAATGGGAACGTTAACAAAACATTTTTTTGTTAGCTGGGTTTCTGCTGAAATCATGACAATGCTGCTTGTTTTGAAACTTTTTATTGGCATAAACCAGGAATGTTGATAATGTACCACAATTTGCGATTCCTGAAGATACAAGATTCTAATATGTTCTTAAATAAAAACAATAGTTATTTAGAAAGAATTTTTTTTTTCCTTTTCTGATTTTTTTGTATGTTTTTTACATAAATGATTTTAAGTCATCCTGTGCCCACTTTGCAAGTTTCCTAAGGACACTGCTCTTCATAACCCTTAATTTTTGTGTTTGTTTATTAAATATTAAGGTTAATTTGCTAATGCTTTCAGCTACCAATAAGAATGTAGTACTTTTTGCTCAGTTTAAGATGTTGTATATATCTTTTTTTTTTTTTTTTAAATCAACTGAGAAAATGTGAAAAAAAAAGTCTGCACATTTTGTCTGGGCCTGCGAATGAGCTTTGAATGTGTTCGATATTGTATAGCTGACTATTTTGTGCTTTTTTCTTCATTTCAACAATTAAGTTTTAAGATACTTTTTTTTTTTTTGCTGTTTTAGCAAAAACACATTATTGTAACTGCAGTAGGTTAGAAGCTTTAAATTCTTGAGTGCAGATTTTTATATACATTAATCTTTTTTGTATACTAGTTGTATTCGGGTTACTTTAATGCCATTGCAAATATATTTTCTGTATTTTTCAGTTGTTTTCCCCTCTTAGATTTCAATGTATGATGAATTCTAATGCTCAGCGAGGCATTCACACCCAGACCCAGCTGGAAAAATTTGCTTTTTGAGTCCACATTAGTAAACAGTAGGGGACCATAACATGGATTCCTCCCCTCAAAGAGAAAGTCTTGTTATTTAGGTCTTCAGAAATGAATTAGATGGACAAACAAGATGTCTGAAAATATTCAAAGTGACAGGTCACCCTTAAGGACAGAACAATGTCTTCTTGCCAGATAACCAGGGAATAAGCATCTCTGCATGGAACAAGACTTAATGTCAATGTTGGAAGAGGTAAAGCAACCAAAGGCTGACCTTATTTATCTAAATTCAATCCTTCACAACTCTTAAGGCCAATGCAAAAGAACACACAATGTGCACCCAGTTCCATTGATTTAGCTTCAACCCACAGCCCGGTCGATTCCCCAGCTTTGAAGTCTCTTTCCACGCGCAGGGAAAGTGAGGAAATGAAGTAATATTAGTCCAAGTACTTCCTCGCAACCTGCTGTTTCTGTACGCCTGAGTCTGGTGTTGATATGTGCTGAGACGCATGGTTCAGTTGAGTTTGTGTTCAGTCAGTAACAGCTGAACAGTTTGAATGCTGAGCTCTAATGTTAAACACCCTGCATACAATTGCTTGAGAGAATGTGCATCTAAACACTATTGGCAATGGACCTGCATGACACCGATAGCTAGAGAAAGATTAATATTTTGGCTCAGTGCTAATATCAGTATTAGTGGTTAAAATGTTACTAATGTAAATACTTTTTGTATTTATATGTCGCCTTTCATTATACCGAATAAACATGGAATGAACTCATTCTTGTTGAGGATTTGCACTTACTACAGTTGTGCTCTCTATACAGTAATTTTGTTTGGTCAGTCTGGTGTTTTGACTGCATGAGTAAGGAAACCATGAGCCATTTCCCTCTGTCGCTCTGATTTAAAAAAAAACATTACTGGCTATTGTTTGATGACAAATGACGAAAGACATTGTACATATTTCCTTTCTTCATTACAAATGTATATTTGTACAGTATCTTAATGATTTTCTTTTGGTTTGTAATAAAACATTCAGTGGCAAGCCAATGAAAATGGTGTCATTTTCATTTCAGGGGTTTCCATTCTCAGAAGTAGTTAAGCTGCCTTTTGTCTTTGTGGATGGATCAAAATCCAAACACAAACAAATTTAAAAAATACTAATACCTAAATTTAAAGATACCCTTGAAATGTTATTTAGGTATTTATGGTCTGGAAAAACATATATTTTCTGTGGCAACCATTCAAGTGTTCCTGCTCAAAGTTGAGAGTTGAGTTAGTTCGGATCAAGTTTCCGGAGTGTCTTATGGGCAAAAAAAAAATAGGAGAAAAAGAAGTAAATAAGTTAATTATTCATTCATTAATCCCTCCATTGTGGTGTAATTGTTCTCTCAGTCTCATTGTGATTCAGGCATGTTTCATCAGTATGCAGTCTGACAAATCATTAACAAAGAGCCTGTGAGCACCTCACGCTGCAGTTAGGCAAAGACTGACCCAAATCTCCTATACAAAAATATAATCCATTATTTTTTAATCGATCACAGCCGTTGTTCTGAAATATCTCAAATCCGTTTTCCGCCTTCCTCATGCAACAATAAGATGATCTCGTAAAGAGTTTTAGGATGCTTGATTACAGTTTTAGTGAAATTCTGCCCTCTACTGGCCACAGTGTGCATTTAACTGCAGTTAAATAAAAATTAACAGTATAAAATAGGGGGAATAAATAAAACAAGCATGTGGGAAGCAAAGACCATTTATATCTAGTGTAACAGTCTATATATAGCCCTTTTGTGTGTTTTTGTAGAGCACGTTTGTAGTTTGTGGCTCTTAGTCCGTTGTTGAAGCAGTCTAGTGCAGTAGGCCTACTATTAACAAATTCAACCTATAGAAGGCTAAAATTTTCAGTTACACTCTTATGGGAAAATGGCTCAAAATATCACGACTCATCCTGAAATACACATATTTTTGTCCACTCATATACTCTTTAAAATGTCCCTCCCCCAAATACCACCGGCCTATATGGTTTTAGGGCAAGTACCTAATTGAGCACGTTTGTCAAAGACGTTTAGACGCAGCTAAACCTTGCTAAGCTACCTAACAGTCATTATTTTTTGTGTTTAATAATTCCCTGTGGATTCTTGGTGGACAAAGTTAGAAGTTCCACTCTTTTTGAACAGCTAACGTTAGTTCAAAAGATTCTTTCAAACAACCGATTATTACATGAACACGTGATTGCATGAACTAAATAAACCATTTTTAAGTTAAATTTAATTTAATTGATTATTATACTCTAATTCCATGTGTATATTTGTTGTAGCCACGATTCATTATATCATTTCAGAACAATGATCAAATTAATTTACACATTTTCATTTCTTGACTGGAAAAGAACACAAGTTCAGAGCTCAAAACGTTTGTTTTAATAATAATAAAAATATTCTATTTACAAAAGCCAGCTCATATGCCTCATATATCAGCTCACTCAACAGTTCTCGGATCATTACCAATCAAACATTTGCGAAAGAGACGCTCGGTTTATCGATAGGTTTTTCGGTTCAAAGACGAATTCTTCAATGAATCCTTCAGAACGGTTTTGTGAACCGGTTGAACTGAATCATCTAAAAGATCCGAATCACAAGAACAATTCGCTCACGAATCGGACAACGCTTTAAAGCGCTGAGACTTATGGGACAAAATGTTGAGAGTATGGTATTATCGTCGTGCTCGTATTGCACAGAACTCTTTCATTAAGACGCGCCGATCTAGACTAACGTTATATAATTCATGATGATTTCGTACGATTTGAAGTGTCACTTAAAATCACAAATCATTCGAATCAGGTCGCCAGTTTCCCAACCCCTGCAGTCCAGCCCATGTCCAGATCAGCAAACAGCACCTCCCGCCCTCATTTCGTCCTGAGGCGAACTTTCCATCTCACTGGAGCTTAGATGCACTTTACACGACGAGCAGTCGAGGTAAATGGCTTGTACCGTTGGCGGTCAGATCATACCGCAGTTAAACGTGGAGGAGGCGACGGAGGACAGCAGCCCGTCCCGGAGCATCTCCAGCCGGCGGAGCAAAACCTCATTCTCCCCGTTCAGCTCGAGGAAACATCAGAGGTAAGAGTCAGACACACTGTCTCGAATTCAGTGCGACGTTCCAGATGTTCAATATCTAACGAGTTTTGTCGCATTAAGGCTTATTTTGGTGATATAGGAACTATTAACAGCTGAGGTGAAGTTGGCTCAGCTCACGTCAGTCATTTTGACTAGTGTCAATCATGTTGACGTCTGGTCGTGTATCTACTAATTACATTAAACTAAGTTCAGTGGCTTTTGCATAAACCATCAAACAAGCCATCCATTTCACACATCCTCCATTTATTTCCCTTTAAGAATCACATTTAATTTCTGAACCCTCAAAAAAGAGAAAAATAGAAGATAAGTCTGATGAGTAGGCCTAAAGCTTCTAAATGGATTTTTCAGTCATCTTTGAAGTCATTTCAATCTCTGCAGAACGTCCAAACATTCTGTGCTTGCAGAAGGAATCTGCTGAAATTAGTTTGCGAGCAATTACAGCAAATGCTCAAGAGGACTTCCAAAACCTAGTTAGCGGACTATTTAATTAAATGCCTTTAGTAGATCTGTAAATAAACATGTGCTAAACACATATTTTCCAGCTTAGTTTGGGGTCGGCAATGATGACCTCTCAGCACGGTGACTGTCCATGAAACCGATTTGGAGGTTTCAGCAGAAGGGGAACATGTGAAACTAGATGTTGGTCTCCATTCCAAGCACAGAGGCAGCATGTAGGGATTGATTAACCAGTGAGCCGGTGTATTTAGAGGACACTGCAGAGGGAACGAGAGCTGCAGTGTTTTCAAAGGCAGATGTAGATATCAGATTTGTCTGAAATAAGTCCATCTGACCTTCACTTCACTTTGAGTTTTTAATATGTATTAATATAATAGTTTAATACAGCTTTAAATTTTGTTTTCCCCCCATTATTGTTTTCTGAGCAAAAAATTATGACTATTGTACATTTTTACCATGATTTACAGAAGATACCCACTAAAATGTCATTAATTTTATTTTTACATGTTTACCAATCTTTGCCAATATCCTTCAAACCATTAACCCGTTTGTCAGCAAGAAGTTTTTAATCATTTACAATATAATAACATGTTTTA